GAGGACTAATTATTTTTTGTTGGTTTCTGTAACTTGAATGCTTATATATTCTATTTTCATTTGGAATTGTGAGCATCACCTTTGAAAATTTTTATGTTGTGGTTCTGGAAGATAAAAAAATAACAGACGATAGTTTTGTTTTGGAAAAATTACTTTGCTTGGGACAAGCAAGATTCTAGGTTGGGGGAGTTGTTAAGTGGTAAAAAGTTGATATAATTATGCCTTAAATTGTTATGAAACCATTTAACTTATGTTAATTATAATATATTTTTCTCCCAATATAGGATGAATTCGAGAATACCTTGATACAAGAGTAAGGAGCATAATTGTCAGCATAATTAGAGAAAAATTAAAAGAAAGAAGAACGCTTAAGCGAATGAATGATGCGAGGCCCGACCCAAATTCTCTTATAAAAAGATAAGATGTATTTTGAGAAAGCAAGCAGTCTTGGAGAAGAGGAGGCACGACTACTGTTAGGGTTTCGTCTAATCTTCATCAATTCTTCACTTCTTCATCAATTAGAGCATTGTAATGGCCAACATGAGTCAACTTCATTCTCTTAGAATTCGGTGCACTTCCCTTGAACTCTTTTGTATCATGGTGATATTTTGAGATATTAATCTATGTTTTCATGTTGTTATTCTTATCATTTGTGCTTTGAAATGATTTATTCTTGATGTTTGGGGTATGATTGGAAAATATATCTTAAACCCTAGATCACGGTAAGAATATTTGTTACGTTAATTACCAGGAATGGAATGAATGTATCAATTGCTTAACACCCTAAACCTAATGCTGGAAAATCTCTTAATTGTGTGAGGAATCAACATTTATCAGGTTTTCTTATGAATTTCATGTGTGAGGAATCAACATGGATGATTTGATTAGGTGGCATCAATATTGTTAAGTTAATTGATGTTCTTAATTGACATAGTCATTACAAAAGAGGATAAGGAATGAAGTCAATCTTAAGTACCTTTAATTGATATTTTCTCAACAATTTACAGTTATTTATCATTTAATTTTAATTCAACTCTTATTTGCAAAACTCAATCTGTTTAATCTACTTAGTAAGCATAATTGAGAATTTTCATTAAAACTGTTCCTCATGAGATCGACTTTTATTTAATTGAAATACTATACTGCGATTGATAATTTTGGTACGCTTGCCAATAATTCAACAAGTATTTCTGGCGCCGTTGCCAATAATTTTGGTTACTAAATAACACATTTCTTTTCTTTTATTTTCTTTTTACTATTTTTCTCTTTGAACAGATCTTCTGCTAGCTGTTCTGTTGCCATTGACAAAAGGGAAGTAATTAAAACCCCTTGAGATTTTTCTCATTTGGTGGTTCTGTATAGAATTCATACTTCATAATCTTCTGTAAAGGACTTGGAAAAGAACTAATCAAAGAGAGGGAGGGAACAGAAATAAATTATTTTGGGGCATATGTAACATGTTGGTTCCATTAATTTGCCCCTACAATTCAATAATTTCAGTGCAATGCTTCAACTTGTGGTCAGTGGACACCACAGAGAGGAAGCAGCAAGCACGATGATCCATATCATCCCACCTTTTCATCAAACAACATCTTAATACTGCTAGTTTCTTGCTCTTTCAAGATTTCAGTTATTTGTAAGTTTGAAAAAGAAGGTCAAATAATTTTTTTTATAAATCATTATAATTTAGAATTAATTTTACATAAATTTTCATTAATGGATATGATTTGGGTTTATAATATACAAAGCATCTTTTAAAAGTAAGGATAAATTCGTTGACGATGGAAAATTTTGTCGTGATAAAAAATATTAATAATTATTAAAATATATTCGTAATTAATATATTTTCATTAAAATATTCATTAATAATTATCTAACAACATCAATTTATGGATAAATTTTTTACTAATAATATAATTATTAACAGATTAAAATCTGTCAGATAATATATATTTATTGATAAATTTTTATAATTATCGATGAATTTTTCTATAGGTAAAACCAATTCTTTTTTAATAAAATATTAACAAAAATTATTTATACTTCTTAAATATCCACATCAATTAAAATATGAACAGACTAACAGGACAGAAATTTTCTTTCACAATTTCTTAGAAATAAGGTGTGCAATTCTCCTTTCACAATGGAGCAAAGAATTTTGAACAGAGAACTAAACATGTGGGTTCGGATGCAGTGATGCAATATTTGTTTCAAACCTGAGATGTGATTAGTATCAATCTTATCTCCGTCATTAGTGGACAACGCTCCTGATTTATGGTGCCTGTTCTAAATAACCCTTTTGAGCCACTCGTGTGTGTGTGTGTGGAGATCAGAAATTTTGGAAGCATTCTTGTGGCGCTACAAAGATAACACGTGTTGATTAAACGTCGTCCATTTAGATCATCTCTGCTTAATTCTCCTTTTCTTTTTTTTAATTGACTTTGACGTATGACGTATATAAGTACGTTGTTTTCCATCAATTTGCCTTACTCGTAACTTCTATATTTGTATATACCAACATATTATGCAGTGCACATCATCAGATTCAAGAGAGAGAATATGCAAAAGCATCCCTTTGGGGGATTCATCAAAATGGAAGGAATGCAAGTAAACCATTTTTATGTATCTTCACTTAAAGGTGTCCATTTATAACATAACGAACACTTGAGTATATATATGATTGCAAAGGCTAAACATTAACTTCTAATACTAATTAAAATTGGACTTTTACTTTTGGTTGTTTTACATTGAAAACAAGTTTAACGTTAATATGGAAGATATAAATTTACGTAAAATTTAGGGATAATCGACATAAATTTACATCAAATTTCAGGTGATAATCGTGGTACATTTACATTAAATCTTAGGTGACAATCGACGTATATTTACGTTAGACTCTATAGATAATCGAAGTAAATATACGTCGGACCCTGAGGTAACCAAATGTAAATTTTGTCTTTCTTTTTTTTTTTTCTTGCAATCCAATGTTATATTTCAACAGACAATAATCAAACATACAATATAATACAAAGACAAAACAAAAGTTAATACAAAAATTAAGTTACGTAAATGTTAAAGTACATAATATAATACAAACTAAAAATATTGAACGAAAAAACTTATTATTTTATAATATCATGTCTTGATAGTGGAGATGGATGAATCTTGAAATACCTGAAACATTAACTTGACTCGAGTTAACATGCAATACACACAAAGGTAAATGAACTTAACAAATGTTGAAAGCAATTACCTCTAGTTATACCCGCATAAACTTTTGTGTATTACATGTGCTTAGGAGCATATTTTGGAAAAACTGTTAGGACAAATTCCCTTTGGGATTTGCTCCCTCTTCTTTGCATTTTTTCTTTTCATTTTGATATGTTGTGTGTCTGAATCTGACATCCGAGTCAAAATTTATCATGCTTCGAACATTTTTCATTTTCTTTTCATCATAAAACCCTAATACACAAAACAACAACAACTTAAACCTCCAATATACAAATTACAACAACAACAGAAAAAATAAGATTCAAACGCATAAAACACTAACTACAATAGTTCACTATCGATAACAATTCAGTAGAAATATTTAATTTCAACATAAAAAAAGAGACGAAACATATAAAACACTTACCTCAAATATATAAAAAATGTTGTAAAACTCGAATTCAATCAAAGAGAAATGTCAATCACCATAAATAAGACACAATGAAAGTATTTTTATCACTTATTATGGTTGAAATATACCTAGAGAGGAGTTAGTCATCATCGTTCTCGTCATCATTCTAAACAACCCTTATTGCGCGAGACAAGGGAGTGATGCAGAAATATAATAAAACGCAACTTTTACGTTAAACTCATAAGTTTTACGTCGGTCTAATAAGGATCTAACGTAAAAGTTCTCTAAAAGTCCGACATAAAAACTGGTTTAGCTTTTAATGTCGGACTATAAAGGAGTGACATGAAAGAAGTCTTTTACTTTGGTCCAACATAAAATACCTATTTTATGTCACTCCTTTATGAGTCTGATATAAAAATCTCGTCTAATATTTATAAAATTACCACTACGTTTTTTTTAATCCTACGAGAATTAGATCAAGTAAAAATGGTTTTTACAATAGTGTAAGAGTGTTAGGAATACTTTTCCTGTGTTCATTCAAATCATATTGAAGATTTGAAGGAGTTAACTAGTTGAACTTTGATCTCAATTCAAGTAAAGCTAGCTTCCTTATGCATGGTTAAGAAATAAGAAACTTCATTACTTTACAATATTTGTAGCTTTTAGATTGGTCAAAAGAATACTTATTTCGTAAGTACTAAACATCTTTTTACGAATAAAACATGTTAACTTGGTGTGTAACTCAACCAGGTTCATTTTCTTCAGCATGCTATGCACTCAAATTGCAGAGTTCAATCGTGCACTCAAATTGAATGGAAAAGGATATATGCTCATTTACATGATAGAGTATTAGACCATGTGCAAGTTCTACGTCTAGCTCTCTCATTATTAATTAATTCACCCCACTTATTTAACACACATATCGAGAGAGAAAAATACTAGAAACTTGAATATTATCTTATTAAGAAATCCTCTTCCTGCATCTCCTATTTCAAATGAATTTATGAAGAGCCAAAGCGGGTGGATTGCCACATGGACTAGCACTAAACCGTTTTGCTATTTTCTGATTACTTGTTATACAGAGCCAAAGTAATATACAGTTTAGTAACAACGAGCCAAGAAAAGTAGAAATAAATACATAATCGTTCCCTGTATTCAATTAGCCTTTTTTTTTTTTCTCGTATAGCATTGGCATACCCATACAGTAGGCACCTAACGCTTCAGTCAAGAAGCAAAACCTAAAAGCAGTACAATTCTGTGGGCAAAAAAATTTACCGATTTTCATACACAATCTATAAAAAAAATAAAGCAAAAGAGAGAGTGAGAGATAGAGAGAAGAAGGCTTTAGTTTACCCTTTTCTCTTCTCTATCTCACCCTTCAACCCTCAGAAGGTATATAGCATGGGCTTCCGATATCAGAAGAATTATCCTGAACAGGGTCAGAAAGGCCACGTAGCAAGGAAGTTTCAGGTGTCGACATCTCTGAAGAAGTTGCAGACTCCTCCCTCATCAAATTCTGCAGTCCAGGCTTCAATTCATTGTTACAAAACCTATCATACTCAGCTTTATCCCCTCCCTTTTTCTTCACCTCCACCACAACCAAAGAAGGTGTCAACTCAAAAATCTCTGCAGCAATAGTCAAAGGCCCCTTCACCCCCTCTCGGGTACCCTCCAAACTCACCCTGCAATCCTTCTTCCTCACTGTAAAACTGACCAACTGAGCAATCTCCTCCAACTTGGAAATAATCCTGTTAACCGGTGCAGCAGTCACAAACCTGGTCTCATCCTCCTTCTCCTCAAACAACCCAGAGAGATTAAACCCGGGGGAGAAAGATATGATGTCAAAAGCATTCAAACTAGGAGGTCTAGGCAAAGGAGCATTCTTCCTCTTGATCTCAACCTCAGAATCAGACTCCGAGACCGAGTAATCCGAAAAAGAAGCAGTAGAAACAATGGAAGCTGTATCATCGTCATTGTCCAAAAGCACATCATCATCCACATTGCAAAGCCTATCATCCTCAACATAAAACTTGATCTGCTTGAACCCTTTTTTGAACCACTTGTTCTCCATAATCTCGGGAATCGCAATCCGGGTTTCAGGTTTAGTATCAAGAAGCCTCGTGAGAAGCCTGGACAAATCAGGAGAAAACCACCTGGGACACCGAAACTCCCCTCTGTAAATCTTCTTGTACATTGCCATAACATTCTGGTCGTGAAAGGGTAGATACCCCGCCATCAACACAAACAACACAACCCCACAAGACCAGAGATCCACCTTGGCACCGTCGTACCCTTTCCTCGCCAGAACCTCTGGAGCAACATAAGCAGGTGTCCCACAAAAAGTGTGGAACAACCCATCCTGTCGTATTTGATCAGAAACCGCACTCAGCCCGAAATCAGACACCTTGAGATTACCATGCTCATCAAGCAAGAGATTTTCAGGTTTGAGATCTCTATGGTACACCCCTCTGGCGTGGCAGAACCCTACTGCGGAGATTAACTGCTGAAAGTATTTCCTCGCAACCTCTTCCTTGAGCCTCCCTTTTGCGACCTTGTTGAAAAGCTCGCCCCCGCGAACGTATTCCATTACGAAATAGATCTTGCTCTTGGTGGCCATTACTTCGAAGAGTTGCACGATGTTGGGGTGGCGCACGCGACGGAGAATGGAGATCTCGCGCTTGATGTGCGCCACCAAACCTCCCTTCAGAATCTTCTCCTTGTCGATTACCTTGATGGCCACGCCTTCGCCAGTTTTCAGGTTCCGCGCGTAGTAGACCTTCGCGAAGGTTCCATGACCAAGGAGCTTCCCAATCTCAAAACGACCCAACAGAAGGTTCGATGGCTCCTTCTTGTGGTGGTTCATTGGGGAGGTACCGGGAGGGGTCTTCGAAGCGATGTCGGCCATGGATGGCCCTTGGACAAGAAATTTGGAGGCTAAATTTATGGATTTTTTTTTTTTTTAAAGGAAGACAACGATGGTGGTGGTGATTGGATTGGCTTCTATTGAAGGTTGTTGGAAGGGTTGAATGGATGGAGGGAGGAACAAGGTGTGGTTTTGATTTGTTTGAGGTTTCCAATGTGTGAGAGAGAGTGTGATGATGTGTGTAAACAAATTTCTCGCACTTGGTTCAAATTGAAACATGGGGGAGAGAGAACGAATGAGAGAGGGATGCATATATAAGGTAGAGTATATACCACCATCAATTTGTTTTCTATTTTTTTTACTGTTTATCTTTTTTTTTTCCTTTTTATTATACATTTGTTTTTGTAATTTCATTGCTAATAGTTTCCTTTTGCTGATGTATACACTGTTTGGTTATCATCAAGGAAATCTCTTTTTTTTTCTTTTATAAAGAGGAAAACTAGATGAAGCCTTTGTACATTTTTGTGTTAAGTTTTCAAATAGAATTTGATTTAAAAAATAATATCAAAATTATTTGAAATTTGATTTAAAAACTTATCCTTATTATAATTCTGTGTGACAAATTAGAGATTGACACAAGTTTAGATCATTTACAATCTCATAAATCCAGTTTAAACCAAAAGTAAAAGTTGATTGATTCAATTCTCAATTTAGATTTTAATATTATACTATTTTATTTCATAAAAAAAAACTTTTATGTGTTGTAATTTTATAAATATACATTTTTATTCTGTGTGACTATATGATTATGAATTTTACTGTTTAATAATTTTCTTCATTTATTGTTTTTTTCTTTGTATTATTTTATTTATTAGATAACTCAACGAACTAATTCGGATGTAATTAATTTGAATTAAATCTTTTTTTTATTACAAATCAATTCATATTTATAATATATATACCTACCTATACCTACCTACCGTAAATCAAATTTGACTTTATCCAATAATAATTCTTTACTTTTCTATCAACAGTTGTGTGAGAGATTTAATTTAAATAACATATTACGAGTTCTTCTTCTTATATCAGTGCATATTTAATCTTTTTCTATTTTTAAATAAATTTTTAACTCATTCTTTGTATTTTATATGTATTTGAAAATATTGATTCCAATTTTTAAATTTGTGCTTTACACGAATTTATTAAAATAATTATTATATTTAGTATTTATTAAAAAAATATGTAAACAAAACAAAGTTTAAAAATATTTAGTAACATACTAAATATAATATATTAAAATTGAGAAAAAAGTTATTATTTATTTTTTTAATTGTGCATGTGTTTCCTTTAAAAAAAGTATTATGCATATCCAATTTATGATATGTTTTTTCTTCAAGTAATAGTGTAATACCTATACTAAATATATAATTTTAAAAAATAAAAAAAATTATAATTATTTATTTTTATTATTGTAAATATTATTACATATTCTTGAATTTTGTGCATTTGTAATTAATATTTAATTCTATTTACTTTTAACACATAAAGTATTTTAAATTATATTTTTAACTCATTCAGATATATGAATTTTAATTAATTGACATGTCAGAGTTGTAATAATGTGTCCAACTACACGTAATAATTTGTTATTAATGTTAATACATACAATAAAATAATGTCGCTATTTAATGTTTAAATTATAAAAAAATGGAAATATTAATGTCAACAGTTTAATTCACTAATAAATATAAAGTAGAAATATTAAATTTAAGTATGACTTATTACTGTTATCAAATTAAGATTTCAATTAATAAGCATGATTAGATCATGCCCTACAAATTAAAATATATCATTGAGAATGATCACATGATGAAAAAAATGATATTAAAAAAATTAAATTCACATTAAAAGGAAATAACGAGTTTATTCAATATTTTTAATTACTTGTATTAACTAACATTTATCATATATTTATTATTAATGAATTTATATTTGGGAATATCAAATGCATAAAATATTTATGCATTATTTACCCATAACAAACAAGTGTCCATGCATTTTGTAAGAATAATTTATTTATTTAGTTAATCTTTTAGTTTTTTTTGGTGCAACATATAATACAATAATAAGATGTGATTTGAATGAGATGTAATATAGAATGTTTTCATCAAACCCATAAAAAAAATTGCTTTACTTTCTACCATTAAAATTAATATATATATATATATATATATATATATATATATATATATATATAATGTAATATAATTTTATTCAAAATAGTTATATAAATCAAATATTCCAATTTAATTCGTTTAAATAGATTAAGTTAAATTATGTAATTAAAATTTCTTACTCGTACAATAATTCCGTCGAAAATAATATATCAATTTATAATAATAAATTATATTAAATGGGATTCCATCAATCATTAGATTGATATTTATTTTTAAAGTATATAGTTTATTATATCACAAAAATAATATTTTAAATTTCATTTGTATTTAACATGTGTAATGTGATTTTTATGCTATTTATTTTATATTTTATTTATTTGATTAAATAACTTATGCTGATTTTGTTTTAATGTTTTTTTTTTCAATTTTTTTATATTTTTTAACTCAACTCGATCCAACATCTAACAATAGCATGCGGAGAGGGATTAGAAAAAATATTGTAAAAAAGTGGATTAAATCCAATTTGACATACTTTAAATCATTTAAATTAATTCATTTTAACACTTGTGAAGATGAGTAGATAATTATAAATGATATTTTGAATTGAATTAAATTATATGTTTAAAATCCTATAACATTGTTTAAATTTGGTTTCTTTTAATGATAATATTAAAACGAATTAAATAATTAAGAGAAATAACTGTTTGATAAATGTCATGATTTTTTTTTTTTTATGAATTTGGTCCATTAATATTATTTTTGAGTGCGATGAATTAAAGTTCACTGGACTTATAATAGTCTAACATGTGTTCAAGTGGATTTCCAAGCTAATGGGTATTTCCTTGTTTCGTGGGTACAACTCACACAAAAACGTCTCCTCTAATTCATCAACACGTGTTTCTTTCTATTCCTGCTCTCCTGTAATATCATGCCACGTATTGTTAGTATGTCGGTTTGAATTTTTCTTATTGAATTAATAAAGAAATGAAAAGTTTTAATACACAGTAATATTTTATCTTATTAAATTAAAGAGTAAAAATCATATAAAAATTAAATAAATTTGATTATTAAAAAAACTGAAAGTAAAATAATTTATAATCAATACTCCCTGTAATTCTTATTATAAAACATTTTAGAATAAACTAACGGTTTTTGAATAATATTTATAAAATTTTAGAATAATTTTTATTTATCCAATTAATATTATGAATATTTTATTTCCTTATTAATAAATATTAGGTAAATAATTTAAAAATTCCTTAATAATAAAATCAAATTTATATGATTATATTAGAAGTGTTTTATACTAAGGAATAAGTAGAGGAATTTTTTACTTTTTAAGAAAATACATACTTTTGTTGAGGAGGAAAACAAAATGTGGTGAGCTCATAGTGGAAATAAGTTTTTGATAGAAATACAAATTTGTATTAAAGTAAAAAGAAATATATTATGCATAATAAAGTGTCCTTCTAAATGTAACACAATTATATATGTACGGATAATGAATGGCAAGAGAAGAAAAGTAGTGTGAAAAGTGAAGTGAGGCGAGAAAAGAAAGGAGGAATAGTTAAGTAGTTGATTTTGTGGGCGGTAGCAATGATTATCTCTTACAACGGCCAAACCTATAATGATATAATAAATCAACTTTCAACTTATTTAATATGAAAATAAATATTAGTTAAGTAGATTATTTTGCCTCCAACATTTTTGCAAATTTTAAAATTATTGTCGGCCTCATATCTACGTTTATTTTCATGCCTTGTTTAGGGTTAGTTTGACCTACATTAAAGTCAACATAAATAAAATAATGTTATATCAATTTACGTCGATAGAATTGACGGAAGGAATTAGTGAGCCCAACCCATAACCATGTGCTTTAAGTAACAAAATCATGATACTTGCTCACAAAAGTATTTATATCAATTTTCCACTTTCTGTGTTTAAACTATTGAAATTAAGCTACAACCTGTGTTGTTTTTTATTACATAAAAATGGCTTAAGTGCTATCAAATTGTCAATATTTTTAGCAGGGACAACCAACCTGCATAATTACCTAAAAATGACAAAAACCCTGGATTTGGATTCTTGCATTTAAAAACAGTTGCTTAAAAATTATACAATTCATACTAAAAAATCATAATATGATTAAAATTAAAAAAAATGTGAATATGTAGTTTTTTTCAGTTGCTAACAATAGTAGTTTTTTTCACGTGATTTTTATCAATGAAGTGCATCAACTTCATTATGTTCGGCCCATTAAGGTAAAGACCATGGACCTTTATTTTGGATCCACGAAAAGATCATGAGATTTAATTTCCCTAACGTGAAGGCTAGTTTCTCTTTAATAACAATCAATTGGACCCAAAAACAAAATAATAAAATATTTGACTGCCACGGAGCAAGAAATTTTAAATATTCTGTGAGAGTTAGAAAATTTGTTGGAAACTAATAACCAGTACAAAGCTCAAAATAACTTCTTCTTTTTTAACTATATTTTAACATTTTAATTAAAATGTTACACAATTAACTACAGTAATGTTGTAGGCCTCAGACCAAAGTCTTGTTGATAGAATATTCTCAAATAAAACGGTAAACAAAATAATTATATTCCATAGTTAAATTACTTTAATTTGTAGAAGTTTATTTTATTTTATTTTTCTAAACATATATTTTACTTATTTATTTATTTAAAGCATCTACCGCAAGCTTAACAACTGAAGCCCTAGAGTGAAACTAAGTTATTCGACGCCATAAATAATTAATCGTTGATAATATAAAAAGCCTTTAATATAATTTTTATATATGATGAATTTATTAACTTTTTAATAATAGTTTTAAAATTCATATTAATGATATTTTATTTATTGACATCATAAATTATTTTACACAGTAAGCTGAAATTAAACTGAACTGTTTTCAACGTATAACAAACCCTTATCTAACTCTTATTATCATTCATTCTAAAGACAACCTAACTGATGTTTTATCATTCATTTTCTAAAGACAACTGTTTTATCTGAAAACTAGTATCAACGTGGAACTGTCTTTTATATAAGATGAGCAACAGTTCTAACTGTGAAGAATTGATCTGGACCAAACAGAGTTACCAAAACATGATGCCACTTCATTTTGTCGCTAAACGTACTACACAGATAAGTAAAATTGTTTTCTCATTCCCACAATAGAAACCCACTGTGGTGAATCAGCTTTCAGGTAGGAGTGTGAGTTGTTATACTAATTGATAATGATCCCAGATCTCAGTCTCTGAATTCAATATTATATCTTTAGTCTGAGGTGTCATTCTCTTGGAATTCTGATTTGGATGGTTGTTTATTAGGTGATACCATCCACTTAACTTGTTCACCATTACGGTTCCAAGCACAGTTTATTAACATAAAAATAATGTGCATTCACATAATGGTAATAGAGAAACGCCAAAAGCCACGTGGCAGAGCAGGTGAGATACCACTAGCATCGGGAATTTGTGGAGCAAGCTACTTGCCAACTTCCAAATCCACTAGAATGCAATTTTGAACTACTTTACCTCTATGCATTTCCTCTCTTGGTTTGTCTTAGTTTGACTAGTGGATTAAGGGCATGTGATTTGTCATTTTGTGAAAGGGACGCTTTCTATCTATTCATTATATAAAATCTGTATTTTGCTCCCTTTTCATTCTTTGTCCAATATTGGTATGAATTTGTGAAATATGCGTCATTTTGTTGTTGCACTTTCCAACTGAGGGTTTGATTTTGAACGACAAGGAATTTATGAATTTATAAATTTGAATTAGTTTGTCTACAAGGTGGTCCTAAAAACTAACTTAACCTTTGTCTTTTTTTTCTTTGCTTAAGATCACTTTTTGTGTGTTGTACATGTAACATATTTGATTTTCTATATTGAAAATTGACTATCACAATTAATTGAGCAGAAAACATCTCACTAAATGTTACTCACCCTAAGGATCAAACATGCTTAGGTCAAATTGCTGTTCTTGTTCATTATTTCCTTCAATAGGTAGGGTGGGAACTGGGAATTAATTTCTGGTTGGTGTCTTCTGCTTTTCTCTTACTTGAAGACATATTTCTTTCTGCATATAACATGTGCAAATAAATTGTGTAGGTAGTTCTTACCAATCAAGGGAGGCATAAAAAAACCTAGTTGACCGATGATAATAAGTTAGTGGAAGACTAGTCATTATTGGGACAAGGGCTTAGTAATTTGCATGTGATTTGTTTTTCTTCAAGTAATTAATTAGACGATAGAGAGTAATGTCCCAAACTGTGCTTGGCTCTTCCGCAAAGTTGTGAATCCTATTTTGTACCATTTACTCAGACATAGCAATCAATTGGGTTTCTGTTTGTTTTTGTCTTATAGCTATGACAATCAATTGTTTAGGCATGGTTTAAACCAGCAAAACTAGCCAATAAAGCCCTCATGACTGTAATAGTGCAATCAAACAATAATCATTCTCTTATGGTTATTATTAATCCAAGAGCCACTCTGTCAACTGCTTCTTAGCTACAATGTAACCTTTTTATTTATGGCAGTAATTATATGCTGCAGGAAATTAATTGTGGCTGCAATAATTTAATTCTTAGTCGAAAGGAAACCACATCTTGATCGAACTAAATTTCTTCTGGCTGCATCAGAACAACTTCTTGTAACCCCAAAAGGATTGTGGCACATTCCTTGAAGTCTGGACTCACTCTGCAACTTTTGCTAAATTTGAGTGGTCAATATGTTACTACTATCGAACAAAATTGAAATTGAATAGTATGTTTATGAAAACAGAAGCAAACATACTACAATCGTAAAAATCCTTCTCAAGATAGGGCATGTCTACTAGTAATTACTATTTTACAACAACTACATTTATGTCTTATCTTCTCTTTTTTATCCACCTAAAAGTATATTTTTAAAATTATCTCGTGAAATATATGCAAATTAACTATGAAGTTTAAAAACTAAATTTAAGATTTTGTGTATAATTATTTATACATATTCAACCTAAGAGTACATATACACACCAGAGAGGAGAAGCCTCAAGTGAGGGGCCAGGCCCTGGCAGTGCTAGGTGTTGGTCTGAGATTGGATAATTTATTGCATGGCCGAGGGAACATGTCTTGCATTACATCATCTTCTCTGTTGATCTTTCTAACCTTCTGAAGCAGAAATTAAAGAACTGGGACCCTATCCCTTTCAGTCACCTTCAAAATCTATTTGAATTAAGGGCTCCTATATTTGTATGCATATCATATCACAGACTCACTGTTGCTTCCAGCCTCAACCCTCCACATACTCATTAGTCTCCGTGGCAACTTTGGTCACAGTAAATTTCACAATTTCACCGTGGGTGATCATGTCACAGGACAAAACATTTGAAAGTAAAACAAAAAGTATCCTTGACTGGCATCATCTTCCATTTAATTGTTTTTCACCATCCACAAATAACCACGCTCACGTGCCGTTAACTCCTCCGTCAAAAATACTTCACGTCGTTGCTCCCACTTCACTACCACTATAACCACCATCTGTCCCACTTAGCCAACAACTATAGCCCACCCTCTGCTCCTTTATCTCTCTTCGTTTTCTTTCTTTCATACGAATCATCACAGTATAATAGGAACACGACATTGAGACGGTGGAGCATAGAAAATGAAGCTCTTTCCCACTTTCTTCATTCTCCTTTTGCTGGTTGTTCTCGTGGAATCTAAATATTCATGCAAAAATGAAGACCAGGAGCTGGTGTCAAAGGCGTTTCAATCTGTGTCTGGATTCTACTCTTCCTGGTTCCAAAGCGGTTCTAATTGTTCAAATGCTGATACTATTAAAGGGCTAAATTTTTCGTCCAAAAACCTAAGTGGAAGCATATCGTGGAAGTATCTGCGGAACATGTCCAAGTTGGAGGTTCTAGATTTGTCTGGGAATTTTCTACAAGGGCAGGTACCAAACTGGTTGTGGACAAGCTCAACCTTATTGGTAGTGAATCTTTCCAACAACAGGTTCGGAGGGAGCATTAACCCCACTACCCAAAATGGTTCCTTTTCATCTCTGCAAAGTCTCAATCTCTCACACAACAGGTTCACCAACCAGCTTCACCTCTCTGGTTTTTCAAATCTTAAAAGCATCGACCTTTCGCACAACAACCTCAGAACTTTACCTTCGGGGTTCCAAAACCTCACCAATCTCCACCACCTCAATCTCTCCAACTGCAACATCAAAGGAAGCGTAAAGTCCATTTCTTCCCTAACCTCACTATCCTTCTTGGACCTTTCAAACAACTCTTTAAACGGTAGCTTCCCCTCCGATTTCCCTCCCCTGAATACCATCAAATTCTTGAACATCTCCCACAACAACTTCAAAGCATCGACCACCTTAGACAGGTTCAAAAAGTTCGGGAAATCAGCGTTCATTCACGCTGGCAACAACTTCAGCTACAACGTATCCAAAACGCCAAAGCTAGGTTCATCTTCAACCCCACCACATGAACAGGCCCACCACATTCACGCGGAGAAGAAGAGGCGGAAGGTAAAACAAAAGTCAAAACAGAAAACGAGAAGCATGATTGCCGCCCTGTCATGTGCCTCCGCACTCTTGGTTGTCGGGTTGTGCATGTGCGTGGTGTGGCGTTGCAGAAGGAAGAGTCAATTGGCGAAAAGGAACAAGTGGGCGATCTCGAAGCCGGTCCCAGTGAGCATGAAGATGGAGAAATCGGGACCGTTCGCGTTCGAGACAGAGTCAGGGACATCCTGGGTGGCTGACCTGAAAGAACCCTCTTCCGCACCCGTCGTCATGTTCGAGAAGCCCCTCATGAACCTCACCTTCGTGGACCTCATCGCCGCCACGTCACACTTCGGCAAAGACTCTCTCCTGGCTGAGGGCAGGTGTGGGCCCGTGTACCACGCTGTCTTAACGGGAGACATCCACGTGGCAATCAAACTCCTCGAAAACGCCAGAGACGTCGTTCATGATGACGCTGTCGCTCTCTTCGTTGACCTTTCCCAACTCAAACACCCCAATCTCTTACCCCTCTCCGGTTACTGTATTGCAGGTAGGTACCCTACTTTCATCAATTAAGCAAATTTCCATTTTTTTCATATGGTTCCAAAATTCTGATTTATAACTGCGTTCGTACCAGTGTCCTTTGACTTAACCTACTCTCATTAAATGCCTTTCACGGGTTTTAATTTTCCGTAACGTCGCACTCGTTAAGTTAACCTATTCTGTAACCATTTTCACCGAATCTACCGCTCGTTATCATTACGTGTGGGAATTCATGCATGCACTTTTCACAAATTGAAAATTTGAAATGTCATTACTATTATTATCAGGGAAGGAGAAGCTGGTGTTGTACGAGTTTATGTCGAACGGGGATTTGGGTAGGTGGTTGCAGGAGCTACCAGCGGGGGAGACTAACGTGGAGGATTGGAGTGGTGACACGTGGGACATTATTCAAAATGGCGCCGTTTCTCGAGCCTCGCCCCCGGAAAAGATGGGCTGGCCAACACGCCACCGTATCGCGGTGGGCGTGGCGCGTGGATTGGCGTTTCTGCACCACGCGGGCTCCAGGCCTGTCGTGCACGGTCATTTCGTCACCTCCAACGTGCTTCTCGGCGACGACTTCGAGCCGCGAATCGCGGATTTCGGTTTCCGGAAGTTCGGGAGGGAGAACAACGCCGCGGCGGCGGCGAATTGTTCGACGGAGACGGATGTTTACTGCTTCGGTGTGGTGCTGATGGAGCTTCTGACGGGGAGGAGCGGCACGGCGGAGACGGTGGTTTGGGTGAGGAAGGCAGTGAGGGAGGGACACGCGGTGAGGGCGTTGGATGAGAGGCTCAAACTCGGCGGCGGCGACTCGGAGAGTGAGATGGTGGAGAGCCTCCGAGTGGCGTATTTGTGTACGGCCGAGTCGCAGGCGAAGAGGCCCACCATGCAGCAGGTGTTGGGCCTGCTCAAAGATATTCACCCGAGCCACGGACTCGAGTGAGTTCAGTCGCCCAAACGAATCGGTTTTCCATTTTCCACGCTCAACCTCGATGAGCAACTCAATTCGTGGTTGCATGCCACGTGGCACTGGAGTTTTGGACCATGTAATTGTTTTTTTAATTTAATTAAATTAGATGAAGTATATATATGACTATGATGGCAATGCAGATACCAAAAAGTTAAGGAAGATAAGAAAAAGGGGAAAGGGAAAAGGTGGAGAAAAAGAAGTGGGGTAGATGAGGAAGCCGGGAAGAGAAGGGGAGTGTGTTGTGTTAAGTGAAGTATCTTTTTTGTGGTGAGCATGCATACATACTGCATAGGGCAGAGAATCCCACTTATTACTTGTCTCTTCTATGAGGGACTTCCATCATTTTTTTTCTTTATCCCTTTTATTTATTTTTGGTTGGTTTGCTTTTACTTTATTCTATTGTTAATTTATTTTTCTTTAGTTTAAGATGAGATAGGTGCAGCCAACGTGTTTGTTTTATTGAAACGAAGGGACCATGTGCCGTGTGTGATAGAGCACCACGGGGATCGTGCTTCTCGCATACATTCTTTCTAATCTCATTAGGTTAGGTTACAATCTTTATTGTCAACACTGTACGCTAATTTCTATGAGTGGGGTAGTCAAGGAGGAGCTGTCGAATGTTGCGTCTACTTCCTTGTCAATTAGCATGATTCGATCCATTTGATGGGATCATTCAGACAGTATTATGAACGCAAAATGAAACGAGAATAGTTTGTCCACATGATAAGGGATTTGAAAATTCTACATTTAATCATTTCAGGTGTTTGCATTTGCATTATATATATTCATGATTGATATATTTAGCAATGGATTGTTCAACTAGCGTACTACTCCAGTTGTATTGGATAGTTTATGTCAAACTATTTTGACTATTGTGACAACGAAATGGCATGTATATATTTATATGTGTAAGTTTCATACTGGTGCTTTGTTTTCCTTAAATGCTCTCAATGACGATTTATACGTCTTGACGGGTAATCCTTTGTTATTTGATTAATAAAGAATTAGGACAAACATTATGGTGTTTTTGTAGTTATTCTTTCCCTGACGTGACATTTTGTATTGCTAAATATTTTGATTTGCATCAGAAACACAATTAGCAACATTTTTGCGCATCCCTTTCCACTTTACTTTCAGTTTCAGCCTCTTTAAAGTTGGTCTGCCAGCTAGATTTCATGTCCCTAAATACATCTGTATTGTTGTTGGATGATAATTCTTAAAATGTTTTATATATTTCAAATAATAATTTTAAAAAGGTAATATATCAGTGGTGGAAGGAGTGAATGATATGAGTATATGCCCATTTTTCCTTTTATTCGTTACACACGTTACTTAGTTTCTATGGGCTCATAACTCTTATAAAATGAAAATTTTAACTTTTACCTATGATAATTCATTTTTATTTATTGTCAAGCTTTTAAACAAAGAAAGAAATTTTGAGAAGAAACAAATTTGCTTAATTTTCAAAACAGAAGAATGAAATGGAGTTAAAGGTCAAGAGATTAAAAGGCTTTTAATTCAATAATTTGTCATCACTTCTTCAGGAAAAAGTCAATTATGAACACAAAAGAAACAGAAATGATAGATGAGATTATTTTTGGTGGAGAAAGAATTCAAATACCATTGTGTCTAAATTTATTTCATGCTATATATATACCATACCACGCACTCATGCACTAAAGTGGAATGCTCCAGTTTTTTAACTCTTTTAGCTTTTGCTTTAAATAAAAATTTGTTTCCAAAGATGATGCAAATAGAGTCATTGTGGCCACTTCAGTATTTTTCTGAAAGCAATTCATGGGATACAGTGATGAAGCCTTGAGTCCAGAAAAAGAAGATCAAGAGTGTTTTAAGAGATTACTAGAAGTATGATTAGAAAAGATATGATTGTCTCTCCTAAAATCCTCTCTTTATTTTCTATTTTAATTTTTTAAGCTTAATTTTAATTGAGTTTATTTTATTTTATTTTATAAGACTTTCTAAAGGCACCACATTTTGGATAAGTTCACATTTTTTGCTTTGGAACCACCAAATACTTGGAGGGGTGCACTCCCTTCTCTCCCTAAGTGCTGCCACATTTTTTTGCTCATTTTCGGAAGCATTAAGTCCTTTTTGAAGTGTTTTTAGCACCCCTTTGCGGCAACCCACATCTTTGACCTTTTAGTAAGGTGTAAACCTAGTTTCTAGACCATTCTTTAAGGTTAATTTTACATGTAATTTCTGCTGCATTTAATTGTAATTTAGGGGTCATCCAAACTTATAAATATGACTCTCCTTCACCATGTAAAAAGACTTTTTGGATGAGAAAAAAAGTAGTGAGAATTTTTCAGTTTGTGTTGTGAGTGTTCCTCACCCTCTCTTAGCCTTATCTTGAATGTGATTCAAGTGGCAACACCACCACTTATCTTGGGTATCCATCACCTAAGTGACGTGACTCATCCATTGTCATTTCACTTCATTTGGTTCTTATCTCTTTTCCACTAATTCTATGTTATATTGATTTTTATTTTCATTTGCCTACCATGTATTTGATTAATTGTTCCAACATCATATTTCATTTTCCTCCTCTTGAATCCCATTTGAAATGAACTTTTATATCTAGATAACATCATGTTATCTTAATGTTCAGTGGAGATTTTCTTTAGGATTTTTTTCTCTTTTTCTACTAAAATCAATCTAATTATCAACTCAAACCATAATCCATAAAAGAAGCTTACATCATTTGGTATCATGAGCTAGTTTCTTTGCTGTCTTGCCCTAATGCTTAATATCATTGTTTTTTTTGCTGCCTTTTAGTTGTTTTTATGCTCCCTTGAACCAATAATAAGTCTGGATTTTTTTCACCATGTATTAGTGCATCTAAGTGGCCCAACATTGGGTGAGGAGTTGCATTTTCTGTTGCTGAAAAATTTTGGGCAGTTTTGTGCAAAAATCTGGGCATTATCTTGGCTGTTTTCCTCCCTTGTTTCCATGCTATAATGTTCTTTTATTTTGGGTTAAGTCTTCTTGTGTTTTCCTAGCTTTGCTTGAGTCATATGTCTTGTTTTCCATTGAATTTTCATGGTTAAAATTCTAGTGCTGAAATGTGTTTGATAAAATGCCTTAGTAAAAGAGTGCATAAATTGAATTAATAGGGAATTCGAAAATATGGGCTAAGATTTTCATATTCTCCTTTTAATATTGTGTGTTTAAGTCTAGAAAAATTGTGAGAAGCAAAAGAATTATTTTGGCCAAATTAAAGAAGTGTTTGCACCTTAAAACATTGAATTTCCAACAAAGATTTGGGTGCAATTTGACTTAAAAAAAAAACCAAAAGAAAATCTCTACTGGACGTTAAGATAACATTATCTAGATGTGAAGGTTCATTTCAAATGGGATTCAAAAGAATCAAAATGAAATATGATGTTGAGACAATTAATTAAACACATGGTAGGCAAATGGAAATAAAAATCAACATAACATAGAATAAGTGGAAAGAAGATAAGAACCAAATGAAGTGGAATGACAATGGATGAGTCACGCCACTTGGGTGGTGGATACCCAAGATAAGTGGTGGTGACGCTACTTGAATAACACTCAAGATAAGACTAAGAGAGAGTGAGAAACACCCACAACACATGCTGAAAAATTCTCACTAATTTTTTTCTCATCTAAAAAGTCCTTTTACATGGTGAATGGGAGTCCTATTTATATGCTTGGATGACCCCCAAATTACAATCAAATACAGCAGAAATTATATGTAAAATTAACCTTAAAGAATGGTCTAGAAACTAGGTTTACATCTTCGGCCAAATATGTGAGCTGCTGCAAAAGGGTGCTAAAAACACTTCAAAAAGGGTTTGATGCTTCCAAAAAGGTATAAAAAACGTGGTAGCACTGAGGGAGAGAAGAGGGGTACGTCCCTCTAAGTATTTGGTGGCTCCAAAACAAAAAATGTGATGGGGTGAGCTTATCCAATGAATGGTGCTTTCCAAAGTCCTATAAAACAAATTAAGCTTAATAAATTAAAATAGAAAGTAAAATAAGAGTTTTAGGATAAACAATAATGTATTTTCTAGTCATATTTCTAATCATCCTACGACATCGATGATTTTTTTTTTTGGCTCAAGAATTCATCACACAGTTTACTTTTCACCTTGAGTAAATGAATAACTAAATGACTGGATTCCACTAAAGTTGGTTCAGGAGATGAGATAGATTTAGATGAATTGCGTTTTTACGTATGTTACATAATATAGTAATATATATTTAATTTATGTAGAAAAAATTATCTTGACGACACTCCAAAATTTTACTTGAAGCTCCCTTACTGCCAGTGTGGATACTTGCCTGATAATTTTCAGTTTTTGGCTCATATCTATTCCAGAGGAGTGCTTTTCTCCAGAAAAGTGAGGATTCTTCTATATAGGGTTTGTCTATGACATGCACAAGCTGCATAACTAAAGGGAACTAAGTACGTTGTTATGTTTTCAATTTCAATCACTTCATTATTTTTTTATCTTTTATATTTTATTCCCTTATTCTATGCATTTGAAATGCACCGGGATCTTCTATTGTTTATTAAAAAATTTCGAACCTGATATGTTCTGTTCAACACATTATTGCAATAATGCTAGCTACAAATTAGATAGATAGAATTTATTCTTGGAAAAAGATGCCAATTTATTTTCTATGTATGGGATCCAGGGACTTTTTTTCATAAATAATACTGTTTTTAAAAATATTTTCCAAAATAGCACCTCTGCAACTTTATTTACATAACTAGCACTGTTTACTGTTCACATAATAAAATAATCAATCATTTTATATTATGATCGATCATTTCGCGTAATGAACTCTCGCTCAAGCGAAGAAAACCTTCGCTTGAGCGAGTAAATCTGTAACAAAGGGGTAATCTCGGGTAAATTCTCGCTCAAGCGAAGAAACCCTTCGCTTGAGCCATAAAATCTGTAACGAAGGGGTAATTCTCGCTC